AGCCCAATTTTATATTTTACGTGTTTAAGAACTTTTGAAAAATTAAAGTTTATTTCAATTTCATCTTGCCGTATTTAAATTATTATTTTGTAACTGAAGAAGATAACAGAAAATGTCTAATCAAATAAGCACACAGAAACCTATCATTTAAGCACATATACACACTCATACATTAACAAGAAACTGCATATGCATATATCTGCTCGTAAAATATTTATTGTTATATTATCGTATGAAGAAATGTCTTTATATATTTGTTCTGTTCTCGTAGTATTTGTCTTAAGGAATATGCTTTTTTATTCTTACACAGGTGACACTGCATATCAGTTTACCTCAACACCATTACGGGATGTATTGAGCAGTCAGCAAAAAAAATGCTCTTTTCTCCTACTTCATCCTTTTCTTCCTCCCACTATTTCTCTCTCGTCTTCATTTCAACTACGAACACATTATTGTCAAAAACATTAAATTTCGGCAATATCTTTAGAATTTCTTTTTAAATAAAATAACGGGCAAAGATGTGATTCGTGAAAACGTTTGCTGTATATTTTTCTTTTTTAACTATCCTCGTATCCATTTTCTTCCTCTTTCTAAAATTAAATCTAATGGAAAATATTATGAGAAATAAGAAAGTATGAGAAAATGTACACACACCCGCCCTGATCAATAAGTTTGTATTCTGGCAGGAAGTTGTCAATTGAATTTTAATCTGCAATTTTCAATGCTTAATCTATGCGATTAATAGTCACCAAAGTTTTTAGTGCCTTGACAAAGAAGTTTGTATTAAAAATAAATATTTGTGTAAAATAAATGCTTTTTGTTTTTCATGGTTAGTCACAATTAAAGGACTATAAACTTCCACATATTTTGTTCTTAAATTTTAAGGTGTCTTATCTTGATGTATAGTCGAAGTATGGACGGAAGCGCTCGATACAAAATTTGTATAATACACATGATCACAAACGAACGTTCTCTTGTTTTTAGAAAAAACAAAAGAAAAGTTAAATAAAATATTTCTTGTCTATGTCTTTAAAGATACAAGAGGGCCCTGAAAACTTCTCAGTCCGACCTATTTCCTAAGATCAGATCAAACATCTTCTTGCAAAAGCTTCTTGGTTGCGCAGAGAAAGCTTCAGCACCCATTTGTTTCTGTCGGTCTGTCCGTCTGTCTCTCTCTCTCACAATACATACACACTCACACACACACACATATGCACACACACACATATGCACACACACACATATGCACACACACACACATATATATATGGTCTATTAAATGGAACAGACAAAGAATGCTAATTGAACCTTTTCAATTCTCAAATGTCGAAATCGAATTGTTTTACTTCACATGGAAGCTTGTAAAAGAATTTGTTTGAATTAAAAGTTATCATTCGAGTACTTTCGACTATCTTTGATCGTTTTCAAGGAAAGAATATTGAAAGCACATAACGTTTGTATATCTATATATCTATCTATCTACACATACATACACACACACGCGCGCGGGCGCGCGCGCGCACACACACACACACACACACATATATATATATATATATATATATATATATATATATACAATTCTGAAAGCTGAAGAAATTTATTTCTGGTTCGAATTGATGCTTAGCCAAAGCAATGGGATCCCCTTTTATCTTTTCATGGATACCTAATATCTTTTTTCATGAATAACTGATGAGTGGGTAGACGGTGGAATGAAATGAGCCGTTCGTTTTTAGATATAACATCATGATCGTAATCGAAAATGATTTCTCTGCGAATGAAATAATAGTAAAGCAGAACAATATAAATCTGTTTATATAAGTATGATTTATATTTTTTATGATTTAATAGTTTTAAGGAATTTGAATGGAATGTGAGGAAAATCCAAGAGGAAAACTGATATTTTTTGGTTTTATTTGTTCATTTTTCAACTAACAGATTTGCTCATATGGAATATCTATGGAGATTTGATTATTTTTAAATATGGAAATATAACTAAACTTTTTTTTCATTAAAAAAAATATATGTATCCTATAATGTATAATAAAGTCGAATAATATTTTCTGTACAAGATGTGTTTCCCATCATTTTTCTCTTTCTACTTTCTTTCTTTTTTTTTCTTTCTCGAAGGTGAAGATAAAAAGTGTAAAATCTGAAGGAGTAAGAGAATTGGTAAATTAAGAAGTAGGGTAATAATTATTAGACGAGTACTAATGAGATAAGAAAATAGAAGAGGTAAAGAAAGAAAGAAGCAAGTAAAAGACATACAATGAAAAGGGAAATTATTGAAACAGATTGTTACATAGATAAATAGATAGTGAGAGAGGTGGAAAGAGAGAAAGTCAGAGAGAGAGAGGGAGAGAGAGAGAGAGAGAGAGAGGCACCGGGGTGAGATAAAAAAAAATACGCTGTTGATTGTTGATAGATGCCGACTCATAAATAGTGTATTTATAGAAATGTGAAGCAGGAAGTCGCGGCCAAATATGTACACTTGAGAGTCCTTTACAGAGTAGTGCATAATTTTTAGGCTCAGGCATTTCAATCAAAAAGTAACAAAAATGCGATAAGATTTCACGTTATTACTGACCGTGGCAAGTATTTTTTAAGAAAGAAAAGTACTTGATAAAAGTCACAACTTAGTTTTTTTTAATACATTTAGCAGATAGTAGTTTTGTGAACATAAAAAGGCAACAAATTTTACGAACAGATTTTAGCCTAGGCATTTCACGAGAAGAATGTTGGGCAAGGTAAAGTTGATCAAGGTAATCTCCTATCTTTTTTCAGGTAGATTTTTGTTAATAGTTGACCAGCAGAATGAATGAAGAACATTTTTGTAGTTAATGGAAAATCAGGAAGACACGTTATAGTTTCATATCCTTTTAATTATTTAAAACATTTCATAAGTATTGAAAAAGATATCGAACTGTTTCTCTTTTATTTCGGGTTCTTGTTTTTAAGCTTCCAAATACGGCCTTGTATTTTTAAGGCTTCTTTCTTGTATTTATGTTTAAGAAACCTGATCAACATAGTTTCCTTTTTAAGGTCGGTTGTAAAAATATCTGTACTATATTTTTTATTTCTTTCTACATCAAATTTCCCCTGATTTCCTCTTCCGTTTATTTCTTTTGTTACAGAATTTAGCTTAACAAAGGTCAGAAGAGACCTGATTTTATCTATCTGACAAAGACATTAGATTACATATTCACAGAGAGTAACCTGTTATCATGTTATCTGCATTAAATCATTATAATTCATATTTTACACTTAATTATTACCTCTAATAATAATAATGCATAAATGTATTTAACAAACTGAATCGCAACATAGAAATAATGCCTTAATGAACTGAAAGGCGATTTTAACAGATTATTACAATATTCTAATACATTAGTTTTGAAAATATAATATATAATTCAACTTGAAATTCTCTTAATGAAAAAAGTGAATAAATATGATTATTGGGTTACCTTTATTAATATTCACCAAATACTAAGGTATTAGAATTTTATATTAGTTTAAAATTCCTTTCTAGACACACTGAATCTATTCTATACGATGATTTTATGGTGAAGAAATGCATGACATACAAATTATACGTGTTTAAAACATGATAACAGACGTCAACACATGTACAAACTGTTTCAGATGTCAAATAGCAACATTGAGTGTGCAACAAAAAGCATTATATCATTTTTTTATGTTGGGATGTTTACACATTTCTTTATATTCATACATATTTCTATATACACTACCTAATATCTATAGAAATATATGTATGCCTGCGTATTAGATTTGCTCAAAATAAGTCAACGAAGATGAATTCGAGAAACAGTTGCAGATAAACAGATGATTGTGTTAACATTTTAAAGATATATCTACGTTCTTTTCTTTCTTTTACTTTAATTCATGAAAAAATTTTCACAAGAATAGAATAAAATTAATATCTAACCTAATAATCTTGTAATCGTCTATCCATTTCCATACTTTTTAAGTAATCAGCTGACGTTGAGGACCGAATGCATTGCGTATTTCAGCTGATCGTTTATTTACGTATGTAAATTTTCAATCATAATCTTTTCTATAATACTATTTCATCGAATCATTTGTTGTATGATAGACTTATTTAATAACAAAATTAAAATTTTCAACATGTTACCAAATCAAACTGCAAATATAAGTAACAATTTGCCTTCGTGAGACACACAAAATATTTCAATAAAAAGCTAGTTTAGATTGATTACATAAAAAGATGAAATGACAAAACGTTTTAAAACAAATGCAAACAAACAAACATACAAATATAACATATAACAATAACTCAAGAAGTGTTTTCTGAGCCGGTTGAATTCTAAATTGAAACTGAAAATAGACAATATGTTGTGCAAGAAAGACAACTGCGAAAAGTTAAACAAAAACAGTAAATTAAGTCCAATGTCACTTTAATGAACACAATTCGAAATCAATTTGAAATATTGCTTTTTTTCTTTAAGAGATATTTTTAAAGTTTAAAAATATATTCCAAACCAGTATAATTAATTACTATTCTATTTTTAAAATTTCAGTTTTGTATATTTTCTCAAACTTGTATCTTTTTGTAAGTAGCTTTATAAATTCTTTCTACAATGAATAATAAAATGAATGCTCATGCATTTAGTTACTTTCTCACTTCTATCTATTAGAAGCTACATGTCTGTGATCTATAATGTAGATATTTATTTAGAGGTAAGATAATATTGATAAGTTTTAAAACCCCAGAATAAAGGACCACTCTTTATTTCAATTGTTTTAGGCAAAAAGTTTTAGTAGTTTAAAAGATTATTTTAAAAGATTTAACAGACAAATGATGAGAAAAAACAAGCTATTAGGGAAATATTGCTTTAAATTATACAGTTAAACTAGAGTCTATGATCTTTAAAAGTTAAAAAAAAAATGTTGCTTCAAGCATACACCATTTTTATTTATTATTTTTTTAATTTCAGAAAATAAAAATTGTTCCTTACCTTGGACTGGAGAGCCCTGTCCATACCCTTAGGTCCGGAACGCGAAGCCATCTTGGCTGTTTTGTGTTTGTATTAAGAAAGATAGAAATCCTAATGCGAAATCGGCAGAGCTGAGCTTAGATTACTACAAGCTCGAGTCAGCAAGGAGCTGCACAAAATACGGTTTGTTCCGTGCGAGGGATACGACAGGAATAGGAACCAGTCTCGTCCCAGCAGTCACTCAGTGAGTCGTAGGTCGAGCGAAGGGAAGACGCTTCTTCCTTGTGTCTGTTGGTCTGCGAAACGCTTGTCGGTGGTAAAGACGGGGAGAAAAGCGAGCACACAAGTTAACTCCCTGGCAGTATCGAGTTACGAAGGCAGCTTCACATGCCTTAGCCATATAAGTACCGGGCAGGACCGGAACACTAAAGGGGGAGAATGTTAGAGAAAAAGAGTAAAAGAAAGAGGAGTAATATTTTGCGAGTTATACTTGAAGTGTGTGTGTGTGTGTGTGTGTGTGTGTGTGTGTGTGTGTGTGTGTGTGTGTGTGTGTGTGTGTGTGTGTGTGTGTGTGTGTGTGTGTGTGTGTGTGTGTGTGTGTGTGTGTGTGTGTGTGTGTGTGTGTGTGTGTGTTCTCGGAAGAAGGTAGATACATTAAAAGAGGAAGGAAAAAGGAAGTGAGGGAGGAACTGAAAAGGAAAGAGAAATTGGAATAGGGGAAAAGGGAGAGGGTTAGTACTTGAGTATAAGTGAATGAGGGAAAGGGTTTGATATATAGTAGTTATGATGAGTATAATTGTGTATGCATACCTATGTATGTATACATATATGTTAACAGTAGTCATAGAAAACAGAAAAAGTTTTGCGCATGTGAGAAAGGAGAGAACGAGAAAGAAAGAAAGGAAGAAAAAAAGAAAGAAAGGTAGATAGATAAGGCTACTAATGTATTTGTTATATATGAAATATGATGAGAATTATGTGATCATACAAGTGTGTATGGTGGTGCACTACGACTGTGTGAGTGCTTATGTGTATGTTTGCGTAGACAAATTGAGGAAAAGTCGAAAAAGTTAATTTGTAGTTGCTATTGATGATAATGATGATGAAACAGAAACAAATGGTTAGAACACCAACGAATAAATGAAAGTTGCAAGTGAAGAATGAGGAAAAGAAAACATCACTAAAATAAGCCAAATACCAACAAGTGATCATATGCGTGTGTGTATATTATCAGGTATACACATACACACACACATATATATATATATATGTATGTATATATATATATATATATATATATATATATATATATATATATATATATATATATATATATATATATATATATATATATATATATATATATATATATATATATATATATATATATATATATATATATATATATATATATATATATATATATATATATATATATATATATATATATATATATATATATATAGAGAGAGAGAGAGAGAGAGAGAAAAGGTTGTTCACGTACGCTTTTTACAGAATCTAGGTATAGTAGGCCGATGAAATAAATTAGAAAAATGCATAATAATAATAATAATAATAATAATAATTGCATATTATTAGGCCATTACACAAAATAGAAGTGCGATGAGAAAAATATTCAAAATCAGAATTTTTGGACACACCTGTACCATTTCGTATATATATATATATATATATATATAGATATATAAAATCAAGGCCGGTGCAAGGGTCACAGAATCTATTATACGCTCTCCCCCACTCTACTACATCTTAATTCTCATAACACAGTATTCATGTAAAATACAAATTTTATTGTATCCTATGTACAATAATGGATCATATAGTGGTTAACAATTCAATTAGAAAAATTGAAAATAAATACAATGTATCTAAATGCAAATTAGTGGCATGTCATTATAGATTATTCCATCTTAAATAAATCAACAATGATTTGCAGCAAATTTTAACATCCACTTGAGATTTTTCTTGTAAAATTTTAAGAATTTGAACACATTCAACATTATGGATAAAATATAATGAATTTTATTTAGTGTTTTTTCCAGACTTAGCAGGAGCAAAATAAATTCGCGGATTTAGACGAAAAAAAAAAGACTCCAGAATAAAAAAATCCGCGAAAATTTTTCAACCTTTAATAGTCAGCTGTTCTTAGTTTAATTTGTAAGGTATATACATGTAGGTAGAAAACAAGCAAATGTTGATAAGATAGTGAGGGCCACAAAGCACTGCTTCGGCCCCCATTCAGGCTTGCCTCCACCAGGTCGGGGGTTTCGTGTGTAGTACTTGCCCTGAATATAATATATATATATATATATATATATATATATATATATATATATATATATATATATATATATATATATATATATATTTGGTTGGATAGATGTGAACATACACGTATCTAAATCTATTAACGTGAAGGTAAAATAGCAAAGACCTATCTGCCTTTATATTCTTTATATCTTTTTGGTCTATCTATCTGCTTTTATATTCTTTTGGTAGTTCTGATGGAGTTAGCATAGACTCACATGAAATAAATTTTTTCTTACGAGTAGATATAAATTAACTATTATTATTTTAAATTTACGCATGTGGTGGCTACTGAAAAGTTATCGACCTGACCAAGAAAACTACCCCCAAAACTAATATAATAATATCTGATATTTGGTCATTTGATCAAATTTTGAAAATTGGGTCGTACCAATATATTTTTTACTTACATCTATTTTTCATTGATAACAACATAAAGGAGCGTTTATGCACTCATTTTTATCCACTCCAAGCAAGGCGATATTGCCACTAAGACGCAAGAAGCTACTGAGAACAAAAGAGAATGAAAAAACTTAAGAAGGAACTAGAAACCCAATCCTAAACAAGGATAAACCTCTACTCTTCTTAAAAGACTAGGGCGGAGTGTGAACCGGACAATAAGCAAACCTATCAAAACCTATATATATATATATATATATATATATATATATATATATATATATATATATATATATATATATATATATATACAATGAGAAATATATAAGGATACTATTGTTATAAGTATCTGTTAGAATACATGGGTAGATCAATAAGCCCTTATTCAGATACGTAGCTATGAGCTGAATTTTTATCTTAAATTTTCACCATATAATATTCGATATCTATGTATTGTAGGTAAACACACATAAGAACATATTCACGATAATCATGCTAAAAAGTTGGTACAAGGTTTCACAAAAGATTTATTTGAGAAATCACCAAAAATAATTTTACTTCGAGAAGAAAGGTGAATGGAAGGTATCAGTGATAAGCATTAGAAACAGGACGTGAATGAGATAAAAAAAAGTTCGACAGAGAGGAAAGGTTTGAAGAAGAAAAAGAAAATATTCTGATATCTTGATTCGAAGCGATGCGTACAGGAATGAGGAAGGGGAGAGAAATGCGAGGAAATTAATGCTGAGAAAAGGTGCGTGAGAGTAGAGAGTAGAGACGAAAAGTTTGCAGGAGACTTAAATTTTGCTTTTAATCGGGCACAATTTGTAAAGAGAGGGAGAGGGAGTGAGAGAGAGAGAGAGAGAGGAAATTAAAACTTTAGATTAGCACGAATACACACTTACACACACAAAGCTATATATACGAGAAGGTGCTGCAACATTCTTAGTCCGACACATTTAAAAAAAAAAAATATGATCAGTTGACGAAATAATTTATTTTGGAATCTTTGTCAACCCGAAAACTATTTGGCAGCTCCTCTCATATATATATATATATATATATATATATATATATATATATATATAGATAGATAGATAGATAGATAGATAGATAGAGAGAAAGAGAAAGATTCCTAAACTGAATCACCATGTTGATTTCTATGTCCACAATATCTATATCTTTTAATGTTTGATATGCGATATTGTACACTTTTCCTCTATAAATTTGATAAGCAAATTTTAAATAATATATATATATATATATATATATATATATATATATATATATATATATATATATATATATATATATATATATAAGTGGTCACTTAGATCAATACCGAGCGGCAAAAGTCTGTTTCATGCTTGTAAGAAGTCTGAAGATTGCGTTCACCGCTCGGTATTGACTTCAGTGTTGACTTTTATATTTGCATCTATACTGTTTTATCCCTAATATTGAGCAATTTTAACCACAAGTATAGCATACCTTAAAACTATATTTGTACAACATGCACACACACACACATACACGCACGCACACACACACACATATATATATATATATATATATAGATAGATAGATAGATAGATAGATAGATAGATAGATAGATAATCAATTATGTTAAAAGAGTGTAAAACTATGATAGTAGTGTACACCTCACCACATTTATATCATTTCAATTATTAACTTTATAAATGATATCTTAACCCTTATAATTACGACCATCTCGCTCTCAACATAACGATGATTATAATGATGGCGATAATGATGACTGTATCCTTATAAGATGCATACAGGTGTATTACGTATCTTCGTTCGTTGTAACTAATTATTTTCATTATTGTTGTTTTTATTGTTCGTCACTGCTGCCGTAATTAAAGTAATGGCCATAGTTTCTATTATCTCCAAAACTACTTATGCCATCAGAATCAGAACACTCTCCAACCCCCAAAACACAGCACTTTCATCTTTTATTTTCTTAGGATGTAAGGGTGATGTAATGGATAGCTGCTCAGAATAAGAAATTGGAGAGCCAAGTTCGAATTCTAGTCGAGTTCATTACATTCGCAAATTACGTGCTAATAACATTGGGAAAGGTATGAATCATTTCCTCCCCTCACCTACGGGTTAAATAATAGGACTTGTATCTGAAGAAAGCATTGTTATTCTAAAAAAAATTGTTAATGCATTATGCACTCGCAAAAAATATTATTCTTACAATCCAAAATATATTTCTACTTTGAATAACCCAGAAAGTGTTGATAACCCGTAAAAAACTCAAATCACTCAGTTTTTATTTTATCATAAATTCCATTATTGCATAAATCAATATTTTTAATTGACTT